AGGGCTGAGCGCAAGGACGACGACGAGCCCGAGGTCAACCAGGCCAGAGCTGAGCGCAAGGATGACGACGAGTCCGAGGGCAACTGGTTCAATGGCAAATGGTCCGAGAACCTCTGGACCACAGGGTGATGAAGTTTGAAGTCAACCAGGCCAGAGCTGGGCGCAAGGATAACGGTATCTAGTAACCCAGAGCGGAGCGGCGAAGACATTAGATTTGAGGACAATTCGTCTTGTTATCTGATCTAGTAAAGGAAGATGTGATGCGATTTCGTGTCGAGTTTTTCGAACTTTTGATCCATAGAAGCGTTACTGTTAGCTTTAGCACAACTCCTTGCCTCTGCTGTACTTTTCATGTACGCCATAAGCACTCTCATAAGTCTCTCTAGACTAAAATAAAGGCCGACTTTTCAGTTTTCTAGATGGTCTTTATGTCTCTTATATTAGACTTGTAGGTGGGCCTGGGCGGTAATGCGAGTAGAGATTATCATGCCTCGTGCAACTGGGCATGCTAAAGCCTGCTCTATCGCGCTCTAAGCTATCTCTACTCTTGGGTTGAGCCAGATTGTCGATTTGACTGATGATGTGAGAAATTAAAGGCTGACTAGTAGCTCGTTTTTTTTTTCTCGCGGCACCATTTCATTTGTCCCGGCTTGTAGAATGGGTCCGGGTGCAGCCTCGCGCGATGTGCACCAGAGGAAGAAGCCGCGAAAACGCGGCAGATGTTGCCATTTTTTGCTAGCTGTTCTCATACGGGTCCAAACCTTCCTGGAGCTGTCATACGGGCTGGTTATATGAATAGGCTATCACTTGAGGTGCGAGTTGTCGCTGCGTTCAAGCGGCAATACCTTTACAACGACGCTTTCTCTTCTCAAGAGAGACGACATCATCGCGAGGACATGATGCAATTAAATGACCACCTAATCAATATATACTAGTGGCTAGTCGCCATTGTGAGTCACAGCCTTGCTTGCTTCGCCACTTGCCGATAGCACTTGAGCCTGCCGCAGACGGCGGTTGGGAGGAAAGGCTATTCGACTGCCCAACAGAGACTACTGAGCTGTGAATCGAAAAGGGCCATTTTTTTTTTGTTAGCCTGTTTTTCGCCCATAAAACCCCCACGCTAGAGACTGATTGATGACACAGATTCCCGGATCAAGATCCCGCCCGGCCTTGCCCTCGGATGCGCCCGTGGTGGAGACAAGAGCGCTCCTCTTTCGTTCCCCCAACGTTGAACAGCAGACTATTGGACGTTTGTGGAATACAATCTTTCAACGGCATGTGGTACTTTTCCCACAATATTGTCTTCTTCGCTGTCCACCAGAATTTGGCGCCCCTTATCGGCCCATGAAAATAGATCCAGAGTAGCCACCAGCGTTGCTTTGCATGAGAGGCACCGGGGGGGACCCGACCTGATGATTCAAGCCAGGGCCTAGTTATTGTAAAGGCACATGAAAGAGCAATGGCAATCCTACCTGAACAAAAGTTCCGGCAATAATTGACAAGTGGGGGCCTCCAGCTCCTTCGCGCCGAGCCTGATGCAGCCCTCACCTCACCTCACTCCACTCTTCTTCATCGGCGACATGCTATTGCAGGAAACAAGGTCGGCGGGGGGACCGCGCCGGGGGTTATCCGTACTGATAAGTAGAATTGTCAACCAGCCAAAGGTTCTGTGGTAATAATCTCTCTCTGACAACACACTCGATTCACAACATTTCGCGTCCAACAACCCGTCACGTTACAATCACGATGCTTCCCTCTTTCAGCAGCCTGGTCGCAGCAGCACTTGCTCTCGCCGTCCTTGGACAAGCAGCCCCTGGTGAGTCTTTTCTATGAATACCACCAGATTTCTTTTCTCTTATATCACGAGGCTAACGTAGAGGATGGCAGCGCTCAACATTCCCATGCAAATGAATAAGCCTTCCTACGAAGGAACTTTTGGGTCGGAATCGTGAGGTTTGGAGGAAGCTCTAGCAATTCAGCCTTAGAGGGATGCCTGAGTAGGCTGTTTATTTATCTTAAGATGATTGAATAGAATTATGGCACTGGTCGTGTCCCGAGTTTGCTGTCCTTCAATTGCTACAAGGCGTGAGAGTCTGGCGTGATGAAAAGCTAAGCAGACAATATTGCTCCTGTCCCTAGGCATAACACGCTGTATATAATTGGGCTATTGCTCCACCACGCATTGTGCCAACATCCGTGTTGCTTCTCACGGCTGCGTACATGCATTGGAGAAAAGGCACGCCTGCAGAGGATGCAGTCGGGATGCAGCTTGGGACAGAAGCACTTTAGTAGTCCCTCAAGCTCATTCCTTTAATCAATTTAACCAGCTGCATAGTTCCTGGTCACCAAGCGTGGCTATGATTGGTAAAGTCGGGGTTACCCCGCTGATGTTCCTGTCGACTGTGTCTGCCAGTCTTGACAGCTGCATCGCCGCAACGTCCGCAGACCCCAACAAAAGTTGGCCATGGCCTAACATTATCTACCAACATAACATTTCCAAAGTCTTTAGCATATCTTGATTGTTGTTAAGTTTTTTCTTTCTCTGTTTCTATAACAGTTGCCGCCACCACTTTCTAGGTTGTCGCTGGAGAGATATGATGGCCGTTGTCGCGGACGAAGCGTTTTGGAGCACAGACGGCCCAAGATTCGACTTTACAATCAAATTCGAGGACGCAATCTTTAGCTTGGGTCTCTCTGGGTGCTTTGTGATTGCTTCAGTCTTGTCCTACTTTCATTTTTACAAATCACCAATCTACGTTCGGACAACGGCGCTCTTGTGGACGAAGCTGGTGAGCCAACGGACATTTTTCCTTTGTGGTGCCAGCATGTTAATTTGTGGCTAATTCTCTCCCTGTAGTCCGTTGCCGTCTTGCTCATTTGCACTGAGATAGCTTTTTTGGGTGTCAAAGTCACTTTGAGTGGCCGCCGCACAAACATCACCCTCACTGCCGCAGCAATCGATCTGCTCGCTTCGTTGTGCATAGGCTGCATTATTCGTGCAGATCATCAGCGGTCTCTTCGCTCGTCCGCCTGGCTCAGCTTCTTTCTCTTTGTCAATTTTCTTACAGACGCAGCAAGAAGCCGTTCTTACTTTCTCCGCCCAGGTCTTGCGACCCTTGGCGCCCTAGCTGCGGCCACCAGCTCACTCAAGCTCACTCTTGTCGCACTCCAAGAAGTCTCAAAACGGTCGCTATTAATCAATGATGCTCTGCGAGAAAATACTGGGCCAGAAGCCACGTGTGGTCCGGTCCGAAGACTGCTTTTTGTCTTCCTCTATCCAATCTTTGAGATTGGCTTTCGGGGGCCGCTGCTGATGCAGCATTTAGACCGACTCGACCCGGAACTATCATCCCAGGTTCTTCACAAACAACTGTCGGAGCACTGGCAGCCTCGCCCGGATAGTAGGCCGGTGGGGAGAAATGAGCTCCTATGGGCCTGCCTCAGGACGTGGAACGTTCGCCTCCTTGTCTTGACAATTTGTCGACTTGCTGTCACTGGGTTCAATTTTGCACAACCGTTCGTCATCCGTTGCGTTCTTACTTTGGTTGGCAGAAAAGGTACCCGGCCACACGAAATGCAAGAGAGGGGCGGAGCAGTCGCGGCCGCGGCCATGGTGTACTTTGGCCTCGCATTTTCCCGGACAGTGTTTACGCATCAAACAAATCGACTTTCTACCATGCTGCGAGGCGGTTTGATTACCTGCTTGTTTCACAAGGCGCACAAGCTGGCTGAAGCCGAAGCGAAGAAAGCGGCAGCTGTAACATTGATGAGCGCCGATCTGGACGGCATCACTGCTGGGATTCCACAGTGTCTGGAAATACCTATTGGCGCGATTGAGCTCAGCCTCGGTATATACCTGCTATCAGACTACATTGGCGTTTCTTCTCTGACTGTGCTGGCCCCATTGGTGGTGACTACAATTGTAGCTTATTTTATAGGCTGCAGTATGTCGCCGCGAATACTGGATTGGAACAGGAGCATTGAGCATAGGATTGCGCAAACGGGCAAGATTCTGCCCCAGCTAACTTGCATCAAAATGCTGGGTCTGGGTCCAACGATTGGGACAATGCTGCAACATCTTCGACTCGCAGAGATTGAGGTCTCCAAGCATTATCGGCGGCTGGAGGCTCTGTCTGTGGGACCAATCGTGTTTGGTGACTTGTTGACGCCTGTCATTGTCATTGCCTCGGCATTCTTTGGAACTGCTTTTCATCACCGCATAGCAGCGGTCAAAGTGTTTCCCATGCTCGCCATTGTTTCACTGATAGAACGACCTCTCGCCGCCCTCTTGACTACAGTGTCTACCTTTTCGAGCACACTTGCGTGTTTTTCTCGGATCCAGGCATTTCTCATCTTACCTGAAAGAAAAGACTCCAGAACCAAACTTGGCTCAAGAATGACCGCCCAAGACAGCTGCGCCTCGGCTCCGAATACGCAGAGCATCATCAGGTTCAACCATGCCGACATTGCGCCGCTAGGAGAAACCAAACCTTTGCTAGCAAATGTTCACTTTGAGCTTACCCCTGGTTCAATAACCGGCGTACTTGGACCTACAGGCTCTGGTAAATCAATTCTTCTCGAGTCATTACTTGGAGAGACGGAAGTTTTGGGCGGCTCGGTGGAAGTCGACTCTGCTGACATTGCGTATTGTGGCCAAAAAGTCTGGCTACGCAATACATCAATCAGACAAAACGTGATTGGCAATCTTGCATATGATTCGGAAAAGTTTCGACGAGTTATCCAAGCCTGTTTTCTCGATGATGACCTTGCTTGGCTGCCCGAGGGTGAAGAGTACGTCGTGGGCGCAAATGGTGCCAATCTCAGTGGTGGCCAACGACAGCGCGTGGCCATGGCCCGGACTGCATACGCCGAGACTGCCATTGTCGTCCTAGATGATGTATTCAGCTCGCTCGACTCAGTCACTGCCATCTGTATCCTCCATCAACTGTGCGGCACCAACGGTCTTTTCCGCCAGGCCGGATCCACGGTGCTGCTTGCTACCTACCTACCCCAGAGCCGAATTGTGACGGACCAGCTCCTCTTTCTCGACGGAAAAGGCACAGCTACTTTGAGCACGCAATTTCAAAACCCAGCATACACTGATTATCTTGTCGCTTCCCTCGTGCCCATGAATAGAAATGTGCCTCTTGTGGACGAGGATAAAGAGCAGGAAATCGTTCGCAGATCATTAGAGGCCACTGCGCCTGGCGCAAGTAGTCTTGACAATGCGAATCTTCGACAGCAAGGAGGCTTTGGACTATACAGCCTCTTCGTAAATCCCATTGGGAAGATCAAATTTGCTCTGCACGCCCTCTTTGTTTCATTTGGCTCTGCACTCGAAGTCTTTCCTGGCATCTATATCCGTGTCTGGATTCAGGTAGACCCCGAGAGCTCTGTTTTCTTCGTTGGTTATGTGGCCGTTGCCATGGCTGCATGCATTGTTGGCTTCTTGGAGTACTGGATACTTCATACGAAGCTCTCTCCGCGACCATCGGCCTCTCTCCATGAGAAGATTGTGACGACTACGTTGGGCAGCACGCTGGCATTTTATTCGGCAACCAAAACTGGCAGTTTGTTGAATCTGTACAGCCAAGACATGACTCTAATCTCACGAGGACTGCCGGGGGCATACATGAAGACCATATACGCCAGCTCCAATGCAGTCATTAATACGGGCATCATACTTTCTGGGGCCACCTACCTCGCAATCATCTTGCCTTTTATGTTTATTATTCTGTTTTTCATCCAGCGCTACTATCTTCGGACATCGCGACAGGTACGTCACTTGGACCTTGAAATGAAGACACCTCTCTATACATTCTTCGAGGAGACGGCCGCAGGGTTGACGCACATTCGGGCCTTTGGCTGGGAAGCATCAAACATGGAATCCGGGCTTGCAGCTCTAGAAGAGTCCCAGAAACCTGTCTACACCCTGGCAGCAATCCAAGCCTGGTTGTCACTCGTGCTTGGTCTCCTCACGGCTTTGATCGGAGCGCTGCTTGTGTCAATTACTCTTTTAATAAGAGGAAGCTCGTCGCAGCCGGCCGTCGGGTTGTCTTTTATGGGACTTCTTTATCTCAGCCAAGCACTTGAGAGTACAATCACGGCATTTACAACGATGGAGACGTCATCCAGCGCACTGGCCAGAATATTCATGTTTGAGAGAGATACACCACAAGAGACCAAGGAGTCCGAGGTCCAGTTGCCGGCTCATTGGCCCTCGTCTGGCCATATACAGCTCCAAAACGTATTTGCGTATTACTCTCGCGATGCTGAAGCAAGACCAGCACTTCAAAATCTCTCCCTCGTGGTCTATCCAGGTGAAAGACTTGGTGTAGCTGGGCGCAGTGGCAGCGGCAAAACGTCTCTTATGCTGACGCTGCTGGGCTTCCTCGAGTTTGACGGTCATATTGAGATTGATGGGATCAATATCTCACATGTTGCACCAGACGAATTGCGTGCCCGTTTCATCACCATCACACAAGACCAAGTACGGTTCGACACAACCATCAGGATGAACATGTTGCCGTTTTCTATCAACGAGGTCAAAGGAACGTCAGTCGAAGATGTGGAAAAAGCCATGGAAAAGGATCGCGACCTTGAACAACTACTCAAAGACTTGCATTTATGGGCTCCGACAGTTGACAAAGGCGGGCTTGACGCAATGCTGGACAGCGTCGGCTATTCAAAAGGTCAGCTTCAATTGCTGTGTATCGCGCGAGCCATCTTGCGTCAGCGAGACACTGGATCGAGGATTATACTGGTCGATGAGGCAACCAGTAGTGTTGATGCCGAGACCGAGAGGATTGTGCATCGGGCAATGGAAGAGAATTTTGTGGGCTGTACGATCTTGACAATTGCGCATCGTCAGTCTAGTCTTGATGGTGTTGACCGCATTATTCGTCTTCATCAGGGTGCCCTGGCCGCCGCCGAGGACACGGATTCCGACTCTGGGGATGATTGAGAGAGAGACGTTTGGCCTCGCCTGTATTTTAAGCTTGCCCAATTCAATGGCTACTGACTTTTCTGGACTGCTTTGATATTTTGTTGTCACCAAGCCAAGTGCTACAGTTCAAAGAGCCAATGACGCCTTTAACATTCATCCCATGTAGGACGACAAGAAACAATAAACTACAGCACTAGTTACAGCAACAACGCGCCAAGCATTCGCGCCCGAAAGCACGCCGAAAGTGCGCCGAAACCTAGACTATAGTTTGTACATTCGACTATATTGCGCCAAGTAATCATATGTGTGTCCGGCATGCCAAGCGCAATCTGCTCGTATACTGGCGGCCAAGGGGGGGCCAACGCAGCTGTCAATATGTAAAAAGGCAGCCACACACATCTGCAAGAAAAAGACACGCTTTCCTTGGGTAACATGAAAAAAGGTATCAACAGCGCCAAGCTTGTACCCCCACCCGCGAAGTGAATGAGCAAGTTCATGCTGCTCAGGCGCGCGCGCTGATCTCTGCCCGAGTGCGACGCTCCTTGCAGTGCCTATCACAGCATCACCCCAGGACGCCATGCGCGGCTGTGGTGCGCCGCACGTAAGAAAATGACAGTCTCACGCCAGTTCTCTTGTTGCTTTCTCCTACGCCGCCGTGTCTCGGACGGCTCCATCGCAGTGCACGCATCTGTTTGTCATGTCTTGGCTTTTGGCTTGGCCCGGGCCCAAGTATTAACTAGGTAGCCAGCCCCCCCGGCTTAGTTTGCAGAACCGTTTTATTCTTTTCATCTTGCAGAATATCTTCTACTTCTTCTTCTTCTTCTTCTTCCGCAGTGCTCCTTGTTAAATCCTGGCAATTCTACCATCAAGATTTCAAGAACTAAGAAACAACTACAAGATGGCTGGCCCGCGAGCTTCTAGCGGTCTCTTGCGAAACCGCATTCGCCGCCAGTCATCCATGACGCCGTCGTCGGTTAGCCCGACGACAACCGAGATCTCAGTCGGCGGCGGGCCCGCCGCGCCCAAGGTCCGGCTCGAAAGGCTGGACGAGGAAAGGCTGTTGATGCCGGGCCCAGATGCTTCCTCGGCGAGCAACGGTGCAGCACACGCCGCCTCTGTGCAGGCCCGCTAAAGGGCAAATTTTCCTTTTTCTTCTTTTCTTTTTTCTTTTCTTTTCTTTGGTCTCGCCAACTTTCAATGGGGCTTTCAAGGGGAGGTAATGGTGATGAATGACGAATAGCACTATACGGATACCCTAAAGGGGAATATGCACGATATGATGAGACTTAAGAACGGCGACGCGAAGAGTTACGAAATGGCTCTACCTCTTTGACAATTTGACTTGCTGCAGCGGCATGCACAACTTTGCTTTCGTCTTCTTCCAGCATTTTGGCACATGACTTTATATACAAAACCTGCTCATCGTTGCTTCAAACGTACCAAATCTCGCAAAGTCTTTTTACCGTCATCATCCCAACCATGTTCTCGTCTGCTTCTAGCAATCTATATACAAACTGGCTCGCCATTGCTTCCCACGTGCCAAGCTTCAAGCCTTTTACCTCATCATTATGGCTTGTTACGCGCGTTCGTTGGCCGCTGGCTGCGTCCTCGACTTTTGCAGCAAATAATCGCCACCCACAGCAGCCTTGTAAAACCCATACAGGCCGCGCACCGGCCAAATCTCCTTGACCCCGTGCTTTGCTCTCGCTTTCCATGTCGCGCGGACGGCCGCCTCCTCCGCGTCAACATCCACCTTGACCTTGTCGTACACGCTGGGCAGGTAACCCGCGCCGTACTTTGCCCGGAGGGCGTCGTACGACGCCCGGTCATAGTGCGCCCAAAACTCGTCCTCGGGGTAGTACGCGTGCGCATACAGCCACTTCTTGCCCCCCAGCGCCTGCACTTTACGCTCAAGGTCGCGGTTCTTGGCCACGACGTCGCGCCGCGTGCCGCTTAAGCTGCCCCAGACACCAAAGTTCATCAAATTGGGCGCGTCTGGCCGGCCAAACTCGGAATGCAGGCCGTGCTGCGCGTCGGCGCCGTCGCGCTGGACGCGCAGCGGGCAAAGCCACAGCGGGTAAATGGCAAAGTGGGCGTCGAGCCAGGCGGAAAAGTCGTCGACGGCGGCGTAGGGCACGCCGACGTCTTGCACCATGTGCGTGTCGGCGAGACCGCTCTTGTGGACGGCGCGGTACATGACTCGCGCGTGCATGAAGCGGTCGAGCGCCGAGCGGGTGATGCGGTTAAAGGGCGTGAGGAAGTAGCGGAAAGCATACTTGGCTACCCAGAAGCCGCCGCGGTCGTAGCGGAAGAGGTAGTCTCGGAGTGGGATATAGTCGACGACTGTGGTTGCTGTCGCTTCAACAGATTGCTTCTGTAACTGTTTCAAGACTTGCTGTGCGCGAATGTAGAACCAAGGATCGCTTCGCCGCGAGAACCGCTGCGGTGAGGTTGCTTTGGGCATATCATCTGTGAGCCTCCCTATACATACCACAGTAGCATCCTTACTAAAGACGATGCCATCAATATAGTCCGTCTCGTCTCTAGCGGCAGCCTCTTCCATGACCCTGACCGTATCTCGGCTATTCGTCGTCAGCGCATACGTCAGCTCGACATACTCCTTTGCGTCGCGCAGCTCAACCTCGAGCAGCGTCACCACGCCCAACGTGCCAAACGCCGACGCCGCGCCCCAAAACAGCTCCGGGTTGTCCGTCTTGGACGCGCGCGCCACCACCTCGCCCGTCGGCAGCACAATCTCAATCGAGCGCATCGTCGCGTCAAACGCGCCGTGCCGAAACGAGCTGCTCTCGCCCGCCATGCCCGAGAAGCCGCCGCCGGCCGTGATGCCCGGAAACTCCATCACCACCGGCGGCACGAGGCCGTGCGCCAGCGTCGCGTCGACGAGCGCGTCCATGGGCACGTTGGGCTCGACGAGGGCCGTCTTGGCGGCGGCGTCGACGGAGAGCACGTGCGTCAGCTGGCTGGTGTCAATGGTGTTGTCGGCGCGCCGCTGCGAGGTCCGCGTGCTGTTGGTCGAGCCGTGGTAGATGCGAAACGGCTTCTGCTGCTCCGAGAAGCGCTGGACCTGCTGCGCAATGAGGCGCACCGCGGCGTCATGAACCTCCATGATGGGTAGTAGGCGGTGCCGGGGGGTGTCCGGAACAGCCGGGACAGACAATTTGGGTCCGATATAGCCGACGCTACAAAATCCTGGGTTCGAAAGTGCGCCGGCTACAGCTAATAATGAGTCCCGGGCCTCGAGGAACTGGGGAAGAGGCTCCAGAAATGAGATGACGTTGCAAGATTAAAGTTGTAGACTTGGCATCCCGCACCTGGCGGAGCTCAAAGTTGACCATCTCCGCCCACGCCGCTAGCCTAACGGCCCGAGGCACAATTATCATCGATCAGCAGTTCCTGAATTACTTAATATAGATATTATTTTGATTTGGGTTTGTTAGTCGCTTCCAACTGTTTTGATCTGGGTTGCTTCAGGTCGACACGTTGACATGTGAATCAGACCCCTCAGCAACTGCGGCATGTGCCGGTCATTTCGTCATACCTCGTATACTTGCCCCATCGCAGCTTCTTTCACTCGAGTGGGCGAGTTGGCCGCGCTGAACTGCCTCAAGGCGTTAGTGCTAATGTCTTGACAAAGCTCTCTCTCAATTTCATGCAACAGCTGCGTATACAGCTCATAAGACGTAACCCTATCTAGGCATTTCACAACAGATGACCCTTGAGAGAGTGGCCTGCATCATAATTCAAATGTCCTCTCATTGTTTCTATCTACGTTATGCCGAAATCCATACAAAACATTTTGGTAAACATGTAAAAACTCAAAAAAGAGCAACAAAGTAACCCCACGTCAACGCCGTTTGCCACTAAACTTTTGCTGAGGCTGGCTGCCATATGACCGCCGTCCCTGCACCCTCTCCCTGCTCATGGAACCGCCCAGCGTGATGTCGACGCGCGGCGGCGTGGGAAAGCCGAAGCCCTTGCCGACCTTGGCCAGGTCAAGCTTGTTGACATCGTAGACGGAGCGCAGGCTGTGGCTCGCGTACGCGTGCAGGTACGACTTGAACGCCTCCTTGGCGCTCTGCTGCAGGTAGAAATTCTTGCCAATCAGCTTCTCGAGCTGCGACTGCACATTGATAATCTTCTTGGCGGGGAACTCGAATTCGACGACGGGCACGCGCGCCGCCTTGAGGTGCGACAGGAAGCCCACCTCGTTGGGCTGCAGGAAGAGCAAGCTGCGGCCCGTCTTGCCCGCACCGCGGGCCGTGCGGCCGACGCGGTGAATGTAGTCGCGCGTATTGTCCGGAGGGTCGAATTGGACGATGAAGTCGACGGCGGGGATCTAGACGTGTTAGAATGAGGTGGAAAGCGCGGCTTGCCGTACGATACTTACATCGAGACCACGGGCAGCGACATCCGTGCAGATTAAAATACCGCAAGGAGCGTTGCTAAACTCAAAGAATGTGTTTGTGCGCTTCTGCTGTTTTTGCTTGCCGTGCAGGTCCAGCACGGGGCAGTCGATGTAGTTGAGCAGCTCGGCGTAGTACTTGACCGAGTTGCAGCTGGAAAAGAAGACAATAACCTTTTTCTTCTTCTGGTGCATTTGGCGCAAAAACGAAAACAACAGGATAAATCGCTTGTCCGCATCACACAGCACGTAGCCCTGCTCCAGGCCGTCCACGGTGCTAAACTCCTTTTCCTCGTCGACGTTGATGTAGAGCGGGCCCGGCCGCAGCGATATGCGCGCGAGGTCTTCGACTTTTGTCGTCTGCGTGGCGGAGAAGAGCATGGTCTGGCGGTCATCGTTGGCGAGCACCTTGACAATCTGGCGAATCTCGTCCTCGAAACCAACTTCGAGGATGCGGTCGGCCTCGTCAATGATGAGAGACTTGAGGTTCTTAAAGACAAAGGGCGTGGAGAGGAGGTGGTCGAGCAGGCGGCCAGGCGTGGCGATGATCAGGTTGACACCCTTGGAGAGCTTCTCGGCCTCGGCCTTGCGGTTGGCGCCGCCCATGACGATGCCGTACGTCTGCGAGTGGTGCTTCATGAGCTCGCGCGCGACGCCAAAAATCTGCAGCGCCAGCTCGCGCGTCGGCGAGACGACGATGACGCCGGTACCGTTGCGGGGCTTGAATCGCAGCGACGAGAGAATCTCAATGGCGGGAATCAGAAAAGCGAGCGTTTTACCGGAACCAGTCTTGGCCGCACCCAGAACGTCCTTGCCAGCCATCAGAGGAGGGATAGCCTGTCTTGCAGTTAGTATGTCGGCACGGTATTATTCGAGTCGGCCGAGAGGACGTACGCTCTTCTGAATGCTAGTCATCTTGGTGAATCCCATCTCCTTGATAGCTTTCATCGTCTTCTCTGAAAGCTTCAGCTCGTCAAAGGACTGGGCGTCGGCAGCCATGGGAAGTATGGGTGCATTATCGGTCGGCAGATCGGTGCCGTTCGCTTTGTCGTCTTCGTCTTCCTCGGCCTGTTCTTCAGAGCTTGCTTCTTCTCCATCTTTTACATCTTCTTGCTCCTCGTCAAAACCCTCGAATTCGTCATCGTCCTCTACTTCCTCCTCTTCGGGGGAAGGCTTCTTGGCCTTTTTCGTCTTTTTGGAGATTCTGTCGGCGCCGTTTGTCTTGGCCGGCGCGGCATCCTCGGCCTCTCTGCGCTTGCGCTTCTTTATTGAATGATCCATTATGTGCCGTGTGGTACGCCGTGTGGTACGCCGTAGGAACGCGAATGTACAATGAGTCTCGGGTGCGGAGGATTCTGCAACAGCTGGTCGTCAGTGTAGGCGGGCGGGAAAAAAAAAGTTCTGGTGACAGTATCGATAAGAAAAAGTTGCGCCGGCCAAAAAGCCAGCCCCACTAAGAGAGCGAGTAGCGTGTACAGTGTGGACAGTTTGTTCTTCGCACTTTGCACGGCTGACAGACAGAATTGAGAGGGCAATTGTGAAATGACATATTTTGCAATTATACGGCTAATATAAAATATTCTATTACAACTTGCTAGAAGCACCAACAAAAGTGCTCGCCTTGTGGAGCATCTCTGTGGCCTCGGCCACCATTTCATCCACAATCTCGCCCGCAGGCTGCACTTTTGTAATCGACGCCGCCACCTGGCCCATCAGGTGCGGAAAGTCAATATCCTCCTTGTCATTGTCAAAGTCGTGCGTGATGGGCGCGACGCCCTTGTCGCACAGCGCCTGGATCTCGCCCGGCCGCTGGTGCCACTGCCGGATGTAGTCGTTGACCTTGAGGCGGATGGGGCGGCCGGTCAGGACGAGCGAGCGCTCCGTCTCGTGGTAGTCGCACGAGACGACGGCGTCCTTGTGCTGCTGGCTGCAGTTGGCCTCCTTGGAGGCGACGAACCGCGTGCCGACCCAGACGCCCGACGCGCCCTGCATCAGCGACGACGCCAGCCCGCGGCCGTTGGAGATGCCGCCCGCGGCCACGACGAGCGCCGTCGAGCCGCCCAGCATCGGCGGGCGGTACTGCCGCGCAACGTCCACCACGGCCGGGATGAGGATCGACGTGGCAATCTCGCCCGTGTGGCCGCCGCCCTCGGTGCCCTGCGCGCACACCATGTCGACGCCGAGATCCAGCGCCTTCTTCGCGTGCTTGGGGTGGCCCACCATGTTCATCACCAGAATGTTGTTCTTATGCAGCTTCTCGATGATATACTTAGGCGGAACCCCGACGGCGCATACAAAAAGCTTCGCGCCGCTATCAATCGTAAGGTCGATAAGCTCGTCGAGCTTGCCGTCAGTGTAGTCGTAGTTTGTCTTGCGCGCGTTGCCACCGACTTGGGGCAGCGCCAGGTCCACGCCAAAGGGCAGGTCCGGGCTGGCCAGGTTGTCCTTCATTTCGGCAAGGATTTCCTTGAGCTGCTCTGGCGTGTACTTGAAGCCCCCGATGACGCCGAGGCCGCCGGCGTTGGAGACGGCGGCGGCGAGGGGCCCGCCAGACACGCGCGCCATGCCGGCGAGGAGGATTGGGTGCTTGATGCCCAGCACCTTGGTCAAATCTGTCGTGATGGGGCCTGTGGGAGCCATTTTTTGTGATTTTTTTGTCGTGTATGTGTTGTGTCGTGGCTGCGTCTACTTCGCTAATGGTCTTAAATGGAGACGTAAGTATATTTCTAGATGAGCGTTGTCCTTGGCCGTAAAGTAAAATGAATGCTTGGATGGGGAAGAACAATAATATACATCAACTATGGGTATGCAGTCAGGTATCCGGACGGACCGGCAGCTTGAAGATGCCGCGAGGTCGCGACTCGGCTATTTAGTTCTCTCATACCCTCCCGTTCTGATGTTTGTGGGGTCATCGTAGCCGAGGCCTGCCTGTCAGTCGCTAATCCCAGATTCCTCCGCGGGGAAGGCCGTCCGCCACGGAGGTTGGGGAACGCTATGACGTGGCTCAAGATTAGGGGGTTCAATTCATCAATCCCCCCGACGCTCTACGTACAAGGATACGCTACATGTGGTTTTCGCCCCGATGCGACGTCGCATGTCGTACAAGATGAGCGACAGGTGCGACTATGCTCAAGCACCAACTACATGCCGACTCATCACGCCGGAGCAAAGCAAAGATAAAAGTAGCGCGGATTATGCTTCCCATCTAAAACGCCCTCGAGGCAAACTGTCCTCGATATATAACATACAACGCTAAATCGCATTTTTTTTAAGAGCCCTTCTCGCAGTGTTCCCGATTTGTTGCCCGCGTAAAAGTGCTATGCAACCCATTGCGGCTCGTCATGTCGTAATTAATATGTACAGAGGATGCGTAATGTGTCTCGATGTAAATCATGAGTCAAAGTGCGGCAGTCGCGCAGGCACAAAATCTTGTTCCTCTTTTTGCGAGCCTTGCCGCGGCGTGGCGTTTTGTTGCTCATGGCTAGCGATTGTGCTCACAGTGTCCCGCGTCTGTTGCGCCATTTCCTGTGCAGCCTGTGGGATCTGTGCAACATGATCGTTCAACGGGAAATCTCTGACTTGGGTGACAGAGTGTGGGTCGGTAGTCGTTGGTAAAAGTCCGAGTTGTGTCGCCGATTGTACCGCTGCTTCTTTTTTTCGGACAATTTCTTGCTCCTCTTCGTCGCGCAGCCTCTCCTCCTCCAAGTGCAAGTCGTTCAGTGACGGCACGCGCTCTATAGCGGCTGGGCTCATGGCCAGTGACGACATTGAGCGATTCAACGGCATGGTCTCCGCGGAGGAGTTTGACGCTATTGTCGTTCTCGATAGGGTTCGTGGTGCAAAGAAGTTCCCTCGTTGGGCCGGTCGCTTGCCTTTGCTGCTCTTCGTCCGATCACTCTTTCCGCTGCTGCGATCATTTCGCACCATATCATATGTGACATCGTCGGCCAATACGATTGCATCCTCCTCGCCTTCGCCGTCGGATGGGAACAAGTCACCACGTGATCGATAGGAATCCGACGTGCCTCCAGTGCCACCGGATCCCGTAGTGCCGCTTCGTTTGCGCGGAACAATGAGCTGGCCGTAGTCCGATTCGTCGTCGCTGCCGAGCAGGGGCGCGTTTTCCGATTTTCCAGGGTGGTCTTGCAAGTCGGCAGCACTGGGCTTGTATCGCAGGGTGCCGCCCATCTTCCAGGGCAGCTTGCTGAGAAACCCGATGGGCTGTGTGCTTGGAATGATGGTGGCGTCTTGCTCGCTCGCCTTGCGTCGGGTGCCCCTGGTGCCGTAGCTCATGCCGCGCTTCCGTCGCGGCTGCTCGGCGGTGGTACCCTCGCCGCCGAGGTGTTTGGGATGGCTGCCGCTTCCGGCGAGCAGACGGTCCCAGTCCTCGCCGGCCCAGCCGCCAAAGAAGCCGGGCCCGGTGCCGCCATCCTGGCCGTCACCCTGGTCGTACCAGTCGTCGTAAAAATCAAACGAGTATTCAGCGCCGGCACCGCCGCGCTCGCGTTCCCTGCGCCGGCGCATGCGCTCGTCGGGGTCGCCGAGGCAGACGGCGGTGCACTGCTCGAACGAGCTGCTGAGGTATCCGAAGCAGGGATTGATGTAGTGTTGCTGGAAGGACCAAATGCCGGCGGCCGCGTTCTCGGTGACGGCCTCGGCGTCGTGCGTAATTTGATTCCAGCGCTGTCGCAGGCGAGGGTCCTCTAGAAAGGCCATGGTGGTCGAGTCGAAGCGAGTCCTCTGTTGCGAGGGCTCAGGGAGGAAGGTGATGGGGTGGGCATGGGACGGGTGGTGTATTTGCTAATCGATACGGGTTCCGAGGCCATGTAGAAAGTCGCGATATTCAGAGAGGCATTTCCAGGTCGGGTAACGGGTTCCAACAGGGCAGAATGACAGCGCGGGTGGCGCAAACCCAAGGTGTCTCAGAGTGTGCAGGAAGACGAATGCGCGACACAAACAGAGACGAGAGAGGCATCATGAGTGAGCGTGGGGATTTGTTGGGTCCTTCTTCTTGAAAGTGCCAGTTTGCGGAGAAGGGTCAAGGCTTCTACAGCAGGTTTTCAGCGGGGTTTCAGTGGGCTTCCGGTGCATTTTACTGCGGAATGAACAGTGTGAAAGCCCCTGTAACTAGAGAGACCCACCCGCTAGCGTCTTAGGAGATGCCATCGATCTGACCTTACAATCAAGAATCAAGTTGAAAACACCGACTTTATTACGAATTATTTCCAGGAGGCTGAAGATGAAGAGAACATCGATGAAAAGGCACTTGCATATACATAACTCACCAGAAAAGTTAGAGCTACTACTCGACCCGGCCACCCATCACTACGCACGTAGACTGCACCAATGCATTTGCGTCTTACCCGAATACGCAGGCCGGCATGTAACGGTACAGCTATATAAGCCTTAGTTGGAATCCTGGTTAATGCTCGTACTGAGATTAATGCCTAGTCTTTTGCCAATTGGCGTGACGGTACGGAGTACAGGATCCCGTTACACAGCAGCAGCTTGGAGGTCACGGCAGTCCACAAGCTGGTGAATCTTTGCCATTTACTAAGTTGTGCTGGAGCAATTACTGTACGGTAGCCCAGCCAAAACGCGATCGATTTTTATAGTGACACTGCCATCGCAGAGTCGATAAACATCTCCACTGCACGAAGCGCGAATAATGAAAATGTGCTAATTGTGACGCAGGCTTTCAGTAATAATAAGAGAGCCAGTTAGTTCTAGGCCTCCCCGTCTCTCCCCTGTGAAAATCAGCGCTCGGCACCAAGAGAATCCGAGATGAACATGCACGCTCTATTATTACTTTCCATTACAACAATTTCGTCTCCTGTTACTTGGGTTCATGCATAAGCTGCCTTTTGCCTGTCATTATTAGAATCCGCTACTGCAATACTCTCAAGCGCCGCCATCGAATCGGCTCCATTTTGACTAAACGCTTCAAAAAATCGCAAAAGATTTCGAGTCTTTGTCGGCGACTCGTTTTTAAACTTGGTAAAGCTCGCAATCGGCTTCAGCGCGCGAATCGACCGCTCTTCCCGCACCCGCAAGCAACGCGGCCTTTTCACGTCGCCTGTCGCTGCCTCGCCGTCAAGAAGGATATACGACACCGTCATTGTAAAGCCAGCGACCTTTTCCACGCATGAGAGTCCGTCTGTCAGTTTGAACAGAGACGCATGGACGTTGCTGTCGGTGAGAATGCCGCTTATACCAGACAGGGTCTGTTGCTTGTCTGCCATTATCGTATTAGGCCACAGAATCCGGGGCAAAAGTGCATCGTTGTGGAGGATGCCCAACACGGAGTCTCGGTCAAGTGACGGGGGTAGCTGGTGTATCGACGAGTCTGCATTTTTCGTAGAGTAGAAAACTTATCAAGTGTGTAAGTCCAATGGGCGTTGGCCGAAGCAAAAGCTCTTGTACTACTCACAAGAGGGCATGGCTGCTGCAGCTCGGATCAAGCCGCCGAAGATGCGTGATGCGTCGGTGCTTGGCGATGGATACCGAATGTGAAATGTTGAAGCTGAAATATGAAATCCCCACTTCAGTCCGCCAAAAATCCTTCGCATTAAGAGACAAATTATAATCATCCGCTAAGGATCTAAGTGCTTGGGACGATAGGAATCTTTTTCGCCATGTACCGCTTCCCGTCCTTGGCTGACGTCATGATCGGTCGACTGATAGACATGGCCGACGAAGCGGTCTTGGTTCTTTATTTCCGCTTCCTCTTGAAGTAGGTTTAGGGCGGTTGTGTTTCCACTCTAATGCGGATGGGGCTCTGTCAGAACTCACTTGCAGCTGACCTGACCCTGTAATGCAACCTGGGCGGCACCTTTTTTATTGTCTCGGCACGCTTGATATCCGCTTCATCTAGATGTGGACATCGGCCGATCTGACTTGCCTCGTTCACCAAACTACACCTCGCAGTTTAGTGGTAGTTGCGCAATACGGCACTTACTTCTAAAGTAAAGTCATCATACGATCCAGTTCGGCACTTGAGTCCCGCGTCAAGTCCTATACTGTTTCGTTTAGCACTCGACAGGAAGAAGCTGAAAATGAGGCAAGGATCTGGTACGATTGAGTCCATAGTAAAGCCATGCACTATTTTGTTAGCACTCGACAGGGAAAGGCCGCTAGCGGAGCAAGGATCTGGTGTAAATATAGGCCCTGGATGACACTAACATTACAATCGTCCTAAATCAACAGCCTCCTTTCGATTATCCATTCACAAGAACAAGGCATCAGAGATACGTGGCAACCTGTTGCAAGATTTAGCTCTATACATCTACCCATAGTTTGTTTTTACGCCTAGAAACAGAAAGCCACCACCGTTGTCTCCTCTGCTAGCCACATCATCTATACCTTCTTCCCCTGCTTCAACAGATCCGACACTTTGGGCGGCAGGACCAGCTGGCTCCGGTCGTTTCTCTTATAAAAGTCTACCAGGCTAATCGCCGTCTGCTCCGGCAGGTCTTCGTGGATAAAGTGCCCCGCCTCTGGAAACACTTGCAGGTTGTATTTCCCCTGCATCTGGCCAATCGTCAGCTCTGTATCCAGACGGTCCGTCCCCGCGAGCAGCAGAAGCTTGCCGCCGGGCGCCGCCAGAAACTTCTTGCTCAGCCCGGCAAACCAGCCCTCCCAAAAGGGCTGCGTGGCCGCGAGGTCGGTCCGCCACCGCCACGGCCCCTCTGGACTGGGCATGCCGTCGTCTTTGTGCAGCAACAGCAGCGCGGGGACCGACGTGCGCGCCGACGTGCTGTTTCGCACTGTTCTCGTCCGAATGTGCCAGTCTATGCCAGATTCCACGCTCGCAAAGCCATTGGGGCGCGTTGAGAGATAGCTCTGCATGCTCTGCAGGGCATCAATCGCGGATCCCTCGACGACGTCGAGCACGGCGTAGGCGAGCAGCGACGACCCGAGCCTTTTCGTGCTGGCCAAGTGTGTCACGACGGCGCCGCCGAGAGAATGGCCCACGAGGACGAGCAGCGGCAGGCAAGCCCAGCTCATCTGCTTCTGTACCGCCTCAATCATGAATAGGAGATCCGAGGACAGGGTCTGCAGACTCAAGTCTACGTTGCCTTCGTTCTTCGTCGTTGTGGAGCCGTGACCGCGGCAGTCCACCGCGAGGATTCCGGCGTTGGGCATGCGCTTCCGAATTTCGGAACCAAGTAAAGCAAACGTCAGCCCAGAGGAGCCAGCTCCATGGTGCATGACAAACAGAGGTCCCTTTTCAACAGGCGAGCTGAGGTAGGCGTGGAACTTGACCGACTGATCTGCCGAGTCCATGTACAGTTCCCGTTCAAAATATGTCGTCCATGGGATCTGCTCCAATGTCCGCCCTCGGGAGACTCTGCCCAACACGTCAGCAATCTTTCCGGTTCGTACGGGCATTCCTGTACACTTTTGATGGATAGGAAACCAACTTACCCATTTGGTCGTGAAAAAAGACGCTGGGTCGCCGTTGGCACGATGGTGCCAGTTGAGGAAACTGAAGACGCAGAGGATGCCGATGATGAGTCGTCGTCAACCACATCAGCCGCCTCGGGTATCGTGTAGTCCTCCTCAGCCTCATCAAACACGACGTGCGCAACCCCAAGCTTCGACTTAGCCCAAGCCCTTTGAAGGTCGCTCATTGCAAGCACGGGGAAAGCGTCCAGCCGTCAGTCCTCATTGATGGCCAGATCGGGTCCTTGCAAACGGCGTCATACCTGCCAGTTTGCGGCGCGGGGTTTGTGGCGCACTGTGGGGCCCACTACAGAACTGCGTGGCAGCACAGTGCATACAGTGTCTCAAAACTAGGGCCACGAAATGTCGAGGATAACTGGGTACAGGAAAGGTCGAGATCATCTCGATTCGACTATCATCTCCCGTTTCTGAGGCATGTCTAGATTGCGGCTGTCAATAGTGCTTATAAATTCTAACTAGTTCCCTCCATTCTCGGCGCTAAGAATCTGTCAAGGACAACAAAGCTAAATCGAAACTGCCATTGTTTCCAACCTTCTTCCTGGCCCAGATCGCTGAATCGATCACGTCGATGCATCGTGTTCCGCAGCTTACTTTCTAGGTAGCTTCAAGTCTTTCTGGCGGGGGGGTGGAACTTTATCGCCTCTATTCTCGGCCGCTGTGCTTTCCACGACATTCCGATATCCGACGGGAGACGCAACTCTGCAAACGCCAAAATCTGCTAACTAATCGATATGAAGCCACGAATGGTATGCGGAGTTCGCGTCAAGGTATTTGCGCGGGAAGCGCGTTATTTCTAAATTGTGCTCCCAACTCACGATTGCTATGAATGGTAGAAATGAAAAAGCATTCGAGCCCCACATTGCATCTGAAGGCGTGGCTGGCCTCCAAGTCTCAGCAGCTTCGAAGCAGCTTGGCAGCGTGCCAAGATGATTACATATCACTAAAATATGGCTATGCAGCTACCGTCTCTGATCGAAGAGGCGGTGATCATGTGAGATGCCGACGCGCGCAAGCCTAACCCGGAAAATCATCCACATATGAGCAGTCATCTCGCTTGCTCATTCTCGCCACAATCAGCTTCGCGACTCGCGCCCCCCCAGGGTGCGGTCAGATGAAGAATGGATACCAGCTTTCGCCCCATATTCCGAAGAAGCCTGCCTGGCTGATATCCTGGCTGATTCCCGGGCTGATTTTCTGGCTAGTTTACCTGGCTGATTTGGAATGCGCGACTTTGGCGGGCACCATCTCATGTCCGTGATTAGCTTGAGAAGGGATCAGCTTAACGAGGGCCTATTTCAGACGAAGATCTCTACCTGCATCTGTTCCCATATGTACGCCACATCCCTCAAGCCCAGCTTGTAGCGGGACTCACTTTGACAGCTCGGTTGGGTTGGCAAGTTGGCAAGTTGGGGAATGTTGCGGTAAAAAGCCACTCGTGGTTGCGCCTCCAGAATGTTGTCAAGGTTGTAGCAACAAGTTGGAGCGCAGCATGCCAAACAGTTGAAGCAGCAGTACTGTTGTTATTCTCTGTCAGCATCCGTAAATGACGACGAAAGACGCAACGCACCTAGTGAACATGCGTACGCTATTTGTTTACTCATTCTTGGTAAAAGTTTGAAACATATGCATCGTCTTTACAAAGTAGCAAAGTCGTTTCAGCGATACGAGTGGCGCAACTCCCGCACCGTTGGAAAGAAGAAGAAGAAAAAAATTGAGATGAAAAATGAGACTGTGTAACCTGAAATGCAACAAGGCTGCGAATACTCCGTAGATAGAGCCGGGCTGCGTAAACCGACGGGAAATTTGGTGAGTGGACTTGACTGACTGGCCGGGGCTGATATTGGATTGCAGGTCGAGAGTTGTTGTCACGAACAAGCCTATAGACGAATACAGCCATGAAACTCCGGATGACTTGGTGCCATTTCCAAGTCTCTTTCTTTCCATTTCCATAAATACACACCTAGTCGATCGAGGCTGGAACCCCGCCAAGTACGAATGGCTAGTTTGCGCCTTACACACCAGCCTGTTGCCAGTCTGCTTGTGTAGGGGGTGGGTGAGGGTGCTTCGAATCTGCCCCCCCCCCCCCCCCCTCCTGAGCAAAAAGCAGTCCCCTTCCCCCATATGCCTCAAGACCCTCGGGAATCGCTGGTCCTTGTTTTGCAGTGTGCGGGCGATTTTGGCCGCTGCCTGAAACAGATCGACTTTTTTTTCTCATTTTGCACAAGTCTGGGGCTATCGGCCTGATTTGAGTGGCCTTGTGCATGCGGTTCGGCCAGTCGCAAGGCTTCCTTCCTTGTTTGCGACAAGGATCCGCAGCATCTTCCCGCTGTCTTGGTGCCCTGAACAATGCAGGCAATTCCCAAAGCCTTCTTCTGTCGAGAATTGGGCATCTCTTGTGCTGGCCAGCTTGCAGCTGGCAAGGCTGCCTGGCTGGCACTGGCTGCTTGCTTGCCATGGACGGCTTGCATCAATCGCCGCCAGCATGTTAGCGCCGTTTCCCCTCTTTGCCTGCATTTGCAGGATTCAAACTGACACTTTCCTCGACGCCTCAGAACACCCTCGCATGAGGTGAGTATACATGGCCACGGCGCATCCATGCTGTTGTTCTGTTGTTGTGCAGGACAGACTTGGCGGTTCTGGAATTGCATTCCCCTGTCCACTAGTTGGTTAGCTTGTGGCTTGTAGGCAGCAGGCAGGTGGCAGGCCATTTGGTTAGGCCCGGCCTAATAAGCTGTGATTCAGACGAGATGCCACTAGTAAGTCACTTGGAAAACCCATAATTAGCTGAATAGAATAGGAGCAAAGCTCCGCGTTTTATACGCTAATGTCCTTTTGTGGAATTGCTGAAAGATGCGGCAGAGTCCGTTTGAGACGTTGAGACATTCCTTGTAATTGTAAAAGAGACAAGTTTACACTCAACATATTCCATATTTGGTACTCATATTCGTACGTCGGTCTACCTTGCTTGATACACGGTTCGTGGTCTCAGTTCTCTCCCCCACCCTTCAGAATTGTGGGTCACATAAATTCCTCCTCTAATTAGGTAGTTATTCCATAACAGAATACGTACCTACGTACTGATGAGAGAGTAGAGGCTGCAGCATGCATTTGAGAGGCAGTCGCATTATTATCATGCTGCAAAACAAAGACTTTCCGAACTAGCGTCAACAGTGCCACAGACGACTCCAACCAATCCTCGCGGTATCAGGGCGCTATCGACACCGCTAACACGGCATGCAGAATGTGTTGGCAGTCGACAGGGCTTCCCCAAACAAGGTCATGCATCATGTTGAGCTATATATACGATTTGCCTGTGTCAGGAATACGACGCTTTGCGGGATAACAGCAATCCGTCCTGGGTTGTCTTGACATGCAGCTGCGGCCCCTGCACCTATGCAACAATGGTCATGCGTATTGTCCAGCCCAAATTCGGCAAGAAGCTCTGATGAGGCAGCTCTGGTCCAAGTAAGACTCGTCTAGTCGATATCAACATGGTGGAGAAACGCATTGCTCGATCCGAGGCCCGTCGTTTACAGTCTATCTTGGCGTGTTAGTCCCATCGAGGAGCCAACCACGTTACACGCCATTATTTGGAAGCAAAGAGCACAGCACCAGCCCAAAAACAGATTGGTGAATCGGGCAAGGGAGCATCTGTAGTAGTATTAGCGCGTGATGCTCGTTTGACGGGAGCCGGTCGACAAGACTAACGTTGGATCCTACAGGAGAGAGGAAGAGAAGCAAGGATCCCCTGCTGGTGACAATCGCAATACAGAGTAATGTCTGAAAAACGTGGTCAATCCCAGCCTGGCGAGACGCGCCCACTCCTGATTGGCCGTCGGAGATTTTATTATTAATAAAATCCATGAAAAACCTTCCTTACACGACCTTTTGCATCTGTGAGCGCACGCACTTTTGTCTAGTGGAACCCGAGTGTCCTATCATGGACAAGCAACTGGTCAACTACTGGTATTTAGTTAGTCAAACTTGCTGAGTAGATTGCTTTAAGCCGATCATCCCCCCGGGAACTTGTTTATTATGTCGCATTTCTTGTCCTGCCCCGCCTGATCCATGAGTTATTATGTATGATTATTCTTAGACTGCAAAAATGAGTTGGTGGCGCTGGGACGGCGGTCACAAGTAGAAAAACTTTGACAGTTGAATTGGAAGAAAGATAAACTCGGTCAAGCCTCCTTGCTTTCTATTATTCAACATGGTCTCTATATCTTTTCTTTCCTCCCGACAAGTCACCGCTTCTTGGAAGTGGCAACGTGGTTGTCCAGCCCATGGAGAAAAGAAGGGAGATGTCTCCGCAGAGGCTTGACTGAAACCCTGCACCTCTTCATGAGTTTGGATGCAGCAAGGGAAAGAACAGGCCAGGGGGGTTGAACAGGCTTTCCCAAAAGTCGCCTGTAGCCGGCGGCCGTTATGCGCAGGGGTCTAACCACCTTGGCCTTTTAGGTTCGACGTCGCAGTCCTTGCAAGGCGCACCACACAAATCATTCTTCTGTGCGATGGACCTCGGCCGGTCCCGGCTCCCCTAGTTAGCAAAAGGTAACTAACTTGAGAAGAACCCCCTCCCTCCCGCCTTCTCCCTTTTAGCGGAGCGGACAAGGACAAAGACGTTGCAGGTCAAATCGGCCTAGAGAGAGATTCCCCCGTCCCAAGAACCCGTCTCTTGGAACACTGGCGTGTCCGGCAGTGGCACACAGCATACCCCTGTCAGCTCATCCATCACTGCTACATACTACATGCAGTACATGCAGATGCAGACAACTGGTTGGGAGGAGGGCGGGACTCGCAGTGACAGACACGCAGGGTATTATGCAGTTTATTTGTCGCTAGCCTCATGACCTGCGCAACCTGTCTGCAAGAATTTCAGTCGTCTGGGCGCTCTTGTCTCATCTCATGCCCTTCTTCTAAACGGAGTAGTTGGCTGGCGCCCGAATTTCCTTCTTCGACAATGGAGCCTGGCCAAGCCACCACGGTCGATCAACTGCACATGCAATTGTGCTTGCTTGACAACCGCCATTTACCGGCGCTGGCTCTCTGCTCTGCAGCCTGCTTCTGCAGCTGGCATGTGTCTTGTTTCTCTTTGCTGCTTCTTTTGCCGCCCGGTCCCCTTGGGGGTCTTTTTTTGACCTGCGAATCGGCGTCTCTCCTCGCCTCCAATCACTGGTTTCCCTCCCAAGGCGCGCCTACGCCACATCGGAAGTTGTTTATAGGGATCATCATCATCATCGTCACCGCCACCCAGAGATTCGTATACCCGAATCGCAAAGCATAAAAAAACTGAAAAACTGAGAGAAAAAAAACTGGCTCTCCCGTAAAACGTTACATCCTTGTTTCTCGGGCCAACATTGTCATTTAGCTCACATTTCGAAGCGCCACCAAGTAGAGAGACATTAATTAACAACAAGAAGGGGGGCGCAAAGCTAGCAAAAGCCTGGTGGTGCGCCAGCTTATACATACGAGGCCACCACGCTTCTTCATATCGACACACACCAGGGGGGTTGGCGCTGAGGCCTATTTACCTACCTACGCAGGTTTTTTTTNTTTTTTTTTTTTGGCCTTGCCCAGAATAACTCGCATATGTATATACAATTGTCACCACACTGGTGGGAGTGGCGTGCGCACCTTGTCAGGCTCGCCCAGCGCCGCCCCAGCGCACGACAAGATGATCAGACAGCCAATGCACCCAATTCCCACAATACCAGTAGACAGGCTAGCTTGTGGCATTATGCATTCCCAAGCGTAAATAAAGCCAAGCATGCAGAGCACCAGGGGGCGTGGCAAAGAAAGCTTGCCGACGTACATGGGCTGCGGCCAAGGAGGCCTTCACGTCTCGCTACGAATTACATTCTCAAACTACCCCAACTTGACGCCATTCTACGTCTCTTGTTCAGCTTCCTCGCTCGCATCGTCACCTTTCCGTCCAACGAGTGATATACAATATTTATGTTTCCCCATCCCCCACTGCCTGCTCTTCGGGTTCTTCACGTCCAAGGCACCGCGAAACTTTAATACTCATCGGGAAGCTTGACTTTCTCCGTACAGTTATGGGGCCTACTCTCGATCATTTGGCATTCCTTTGGCTTTGATTATCCTAAACTGAAAAGGCCACCCAGCACGACAACCAGCTGTCCCTCTTTGGCCAAATCTGCTTAATTAAACCGCTTCTCGGAAGTTTGGTCTTGCCGGCAATCAGGCACAGGCAGCTGCCCAATCATTCGTCTCGGCCTCCCCTCCTCCCGTTCTTTCCTCTTCCCTCTCGCTTACAGCCGTGTCCGTGGCGAAAAAGGCAAAATCTCATTTTTAGAGCCCGAGCACCTTTATTCTTATTCTTGTTTCTCATCTCCTTTTTTGCTTCTCACCATCTCTCTCCGTCCGAGAAGTGGTCGCGAGGCTACTCTGTTCAAAGCAATATCGCAGGTCTCTCTGCTTCTTCTTCTTCTTCTTCACTCAAGAAGAGACGGGCTGTGCAGCGCTACTCAGTTAACCAAAGTTTGACAGGTGTTGTTGGTCCACAACATCTTCATGGCTGTCATCTGCCCCTTACCTCTCCGATCTACACTGCAGTCACCGGGTTCACGGAAACATCGATTGCCTGCGCGAGGCAACAGCACTCTACTGAAATCTCATAGAGGCGCATATGAAAATAGTACGAGCAGCGGGGGCGACAGCCTTTGGCAACGGCATTATCAAGACCAGCTGCAGTTCAGCGAGAGTCGCGACATTGAAGAGGTATCTACCTCAGGACAGGTTATACAGGACAAATCTAGCCAAAAAAAGACTTCCGACCTCAGCAGACCAGGGTCCTTCAGCATGACCGCACAGCTCGAGGAGCCATCCCCCATTCTCAAGCGATCCTTTTCGACACCCACGGTACGCGACATGGCGCAAGACAGCCCGACGACAGCGGGGGAGAAGAAGCGTAACAAGCTAGGGTACCACAGAACATCAATAGCATGCAGTGAGTCCAGCGCTCTGCCTCTTCCACGCGCCTCTCGGTTTGTTACGCTGCCGAGTGGTAGCTCGGGCTTCTGGAGCTTTGCTCAAGTCACCGCTGCTAACCAAGGCCGCGATACAACAGGTCATTGCCGGCGGCGGAAAATCCGCTGTATCGTGTCTTCGGAGATACAGAACCGATGTATAAACTGCATACGTCTGAAGAAGGACTGCAGCTTTTGCCCCGTTGATCAGCAACCGACGGTGGACTCGCAAGGCAAGAGTGCTGGTCAAGGAACTGGCGGATCGGCGGCACACTCGCAATCCTCCTCACCAGCACCTGCATCTGGGCATCCAGCCGTCATAGCATCGAGACATGTGTACGGGACGGGAATGGTACAAGACTCCGTTGGTCTTGTTGCACCCGTGATTGTGCCGTCCAGCGGTGCCTTTGCGAGTGTTGCAGATGAAGGTTTGTGAAGACTTTTTTTTTTTTTTCGGAGAATGTGGACAAATATTCTGACCATTCGCTGCCAGAAATTGGACTGAGCATACCAATGACCGCCGAACAAAGTTTTAATGTCTCTCCTGGTTCGAGTTTGGCTTGGAGGTCCACTCAGCCAAGCCCAGTAACTATACCTGGTTCAATGGATATGGGTTTTGCGTGGCATCCATACGGTAGCGAAAGCAGCTCTACCGAACAGTTATCTTCTCTTGGGCCTGGATCGGCCTCTCAGTCTACATGGGCGGAAGCAGCCTCCGGAACGCCGCAGCTAAACGACTGGAATTGGAACAACGTAGCACTAGCAGCGGCACAGGCGAGATCTGTGTCCTTTAGCGGCGACTTCATCAGTCAATCACATCAGCAGTTTGCCTCGCTCCCAGGCAACTCACTGTATAACGGGGTGGAGCCGACAGTGGAAGGCACATATACGTCTCCAATGGACCATTCTCTCAGACCAGGCCATTTGCCAAGCCAAGCGGGCGAGCCTAGCATCAGTTGGCTCACACAGCAACAGCAGATGCTCCTACAACAACCTCAGCAGCAGAGCATGGGCTTCGAATCTTGGGGGTTTCCCAACACCAGTGGACCGGCCACGTGAGTGAGGGTGTCTAGGCACACTTTCCGAGACTGACAACGCGCACAAGCGGATACAATCTGCCAGCGATAATTATGATATCTGCCAACTCAAGTCATACCCGGCATCAATGCACGGAGAATGTTTACATATACACGAGACATGACGAGGAATGAGCAGTCTTATTCCAAGAGCAGCGGATGTTTCTTTGATGATACAAGGCCGCGGCGATTTTGGAAACGGCAATTGCGGCAATTGCAGGCAAAATTGGGATAATAAAACACATATATCCAATGGACTTTGGGTCATTGAAGCTGCAAACTGCAAACAGACGGCACCAAGCGAACAGATGCACTCGTGCCATATCTTTGGTAAGTGACATGATATGTTGCCATGTCGAGGCCCAACGGGGGAAGGGCATTGTCCATCAGACCACAGATTTTCAGGTTGGCTCAGAATTGTACAAGGGCTTGAACGCAGTCATCTTGGACGCCTCTTCAGGCAGGAGTTTTTGGATTTACGGCGTCAACAGAAACGGCGATTCGGCCGCGAGGCATCATGGTCTCGTTGATTCAATAGTGACGCAAGAATTGATCGAACTAGGGGGGAAAGTCTCAAGAACGAGACAAGGCATAATCACATTAGCAACAACTGGGCATGCCCATGCATTTTTGGCCCTCAAGCACCTGGATGGCACGACCGCGTAGTCCGGTTTTGCATCTGATGATTCTTTTCTGCCTAAAAACGACTTGACGGTAGATGCTTTGTTGCTCTTTACTCGGCAGATCATTCCATGTGTCTAGTAAAATAGGAAATCATGTCAGTTTTGATTCAGAGGAATTCTTTATTCGTACGGCTTGAAAATTCCGGAAACGTCTGTGTTGTTGTGTGAACGCAGTCCCACCCTATAACGAACGCTTGATGCTTGTGGTGCCGAGCAATGAGACCAGTTGAGCCATGAGAGCCAGAGAATTCTAAGGTTATGACGGCAAGAACTAGTATTATGGGGTTAGTTTAATAAGTAATGCTGGCGTATGAATCTCGGAGCTTAAGGATCAGTCGGCATCACTAATACCGACTCTCGGGGTTGTTTATCAATTGCCCCGCCATGTAAAGGCCCCAGCCATCTGCGCCCGTATTAATAATAGAACAAGAGGGGTTCCATATCAGTTTGTTTTTCTTTTCAACAGTTTCAAAACGCACAATCACAATCTAAACAAAAAAAAAG